GTACCTTTTCCTCCTCTGATCTTTGTGTCGATGTGTTTCTCCCCCTCCTGATAGTGGCGACCCCCCTGGGCGCTGCCCCCCGGATGCACACAGCGCCAACACGAACAGCGCCAGCGAGGCCCAAGCCGCCACGGACCAGCCGCTCCGCCCCGCGCCGCCGCTGGCGTCCGGCTCCTGCGGGCTGCGCATCTTTCGCATGAGTCGGCGGCCTTCAGAAAGATAGAGCGAGAAAGAGAGAGAGAGCGAAAAAATCGAGGTCGTTTCGGGGAGGGTACCCTTATGGAAAAAAAGGTGCCTCGTTCCTGATTCAGAGTTCCTTATTACAGGGTTTCCACTGTGACGTTACCCCTGGTGGTGTTCGAGCCATACCTCGAGCCTCCGCGGGCCTCCGTCGGCGGTTTGTGGGGCGACCCGGGCAGACTATCGAAACGCCCTTGCCGAGGTGCAGCTGCTGGGGAGCCTCCCGAAGGTTTTCTTCTTTCGGCGGTTCGGCATTGCGCGGATTGGGGGGGTTGGGGGGGGGCTGGCTCTGGACCACTGCTCAGTGCGACTTTGTGCGACAGTACGTCCAGCGGGGGAAGACTCCACCCGCTTGAAACAGGCGGCGCCAAAAACAGCCAAGATTGACTCCACGGGGGGGGAGGGGCGGGTGCGAGGGCCCGCGCCGATCGGCAAAACAATGACTCAAAAAACGATCACCTTCAGATAAAGAGAAAGAGAAAGAAGATTGAGGTCGTTTCGGGGAGGGTAACCTGATGAGATTCGTGCTTATTGGATGCTCTTGGATCCTGGGGGACGGTACCCTCGAATGATCTTTGTATTTTTGCCGGCGGAGGCTCTCATGTTCTTCAAGGATGTGTTTCTATCCTAGGTCCGACTGTACCCCTTGTGTGCGCGCCGCCAACCCTGAGATCCGACGATACGAAAAAACTGCACCGCTACAACAAAAATCACGACCGGAGCCCCAAACCCCATCTTTCTACGCTATTTTTGGCGCCGGATCGATCTGGATCTGTGAGAGAGTCCCGGGGCCCGAAGCGGGCCGAAAACACCAGTTGTGAAAAAGTTGCACCGGCAGGATCTCAGGGGAGAGGGAGAGAGAGAGAGAGGGGAGAGAGAGATACAGAGAGGAACTTGCAATCGCTCGGACGTGCTGCAGGTTTCGCGCGTGCATTCTTCTCAAGATGATCCAGGATGCTCCACATTGGTCTGCGCCGCGGACAGAAAGCACACGTCCGGATGATGCCACGGAGAGGGAATGATAGAGAGAGACCCAGACATGCTGGCGTCGTAACCGAGACCCCGACGGAAAATCTGTTACCATGTTCGGCCTCTGGGGGCCCTCGCGGGGCCCCCGGACCATTATAAAACCATTCGGCATAAAGACCAGCCCTGTGTAAAGGGCCCGAACTTCAAAAACCTCGCTAAAAGATCAAGAAATCACGTGTCTGGGGAAAGTCGCCGTGCACGTCAGAGGTGAGAAGAAACGCTGCGGGGGGGCTGGCTCAGGGGGGAAGCATCGGCCTGCCGGGACGCCCTCTGCGAGGTGCAACCGCTGGAGCGCATCCCGAGAGTGGGACCCCGCCGAAAGCGATCGAAAACATCCGAGAACCTTGAGTTTACCCGCTGGAGGTGGCCTAAGGCAGGGGCCGACCGCGCAGGCATTCCTGTAGGCTTACCACGGCAGCTTGTCAGAACAAAACGAATGCTCTCTCGCCATCGCTCGGGCGTCCATGTTTCGGTCTCGGGCGTACATTATTTCGCAAGATGAACCAACAATTACACGATGGTCCGTGCAGAGAAAAAACGTAAACGTCCGAGCAATGCCAAACTACAAGGACAACAACAGGTTCTCTAAGCATAGAGCGAACTGATAACTTAAAAAAGCCTCTGCAATACATGTTCTAGGAACCTCTCGTGCATACCGCAAGAGGTTCTTACAACATGCCTGGGGGGCCTATAATCGAGCGTTGGCAAGACTGAATTTGGTAGGCTTTGGTTTAGTGATGTGTACCGGTGGGCGCCCCCCCCGCCCCATCCCAGGGCGCCCTATTCCACTAGCCGGAGCTGAGGCCACCCCCAAAAAGCGGCTATGTAATACCTGGTCTAGGGATTCCAATACATGTTCTCGACTTCGATCCCAAATCACTAACAGGCTCCCATTGACCGATGCCATGGCTATGCCCGAAAAAGAACGCTCCAAGGACAGCACCAGGGTTCTCAGAACATGGAGCCGACTGATCAAACGACATACTGCCTCTGCAAGAAATCTTCAAACATCCTTTAGTGCAAACCACAACGAGTTCTTAAAACATGCTTTACTGGGCCTATTCGGGCGCTTGCAGGACCTGGTTGACTGGGCCCTGGTTTACTAATGTGTGCCAGAAGACGCACCCCCCGCCTCATTCCACTAGCCGGAACTGCCGTCAACCGAAAATCTCCAGCTACGGCAGACCTGGTTTAAATATTCCAATCCATATGTTGGACTTCGGGCCCAAATCACCAGCCAGCTCCCCTTAACCGGGGTCATGATTATGTCAGAAAAAATGTCCTACGGACAACAACAGGGCTCTCAACATCGAGCCGAATGATCAAAACATGACTGCCTCTGCCAGAAATATTCTAATAGCTAAGAGCCTTTCGTGCAAACCACAGGAGGTTCTTGACACATGCTTTGGTGGGCCTATAGTCGAGCGGTGGCAAGACTGGGTCAAATGGGACCTGGGTTGATAATGCTTGCCAAAGAACGTCCCCCCCGCCCCATTCCACTAACCGGAACTGCCGTCACCCGAAAAACACGAACTACTGCAGACCTGATTTAGGGATTCCGATCCGTGTTGTGGCTCCCGGGCCAAAACTAAGAGCCAGCTCCCCTTAACCGGATACGCGCCGGGGCGGGGGTCCTCGGAGGGCGCCTCCGCCACCACCGCCAGCGCCATGGCGAGGGCGGCACCTCGGCCAAACGGGCGGCGTCAACCGATGGCGGTGGCAGCCAGGCGCGGGGCGGGCCGAAGGGACCCAGCGATCCAGACCCCCACGACGAATGAAGCAATCGCGGCGGGGACCTTCTCGCGATGTTCGTCCTGTGGGGCCTCTTGCCAGGCCTCGGGGCTGCCAAAGAGCGACTCAGCATGAAAAGGCGGTCCCGGGGAACAGGGCGAAAGCTATCTGGCCGAATCTATCAAGCGATCATGACACCGGGTCTGAGGGACAGTGCGAACAGCACCGAGGAGGAAGAGACAGAGTGAGTGAGAGAGAGAGAGAGAGACAGAGTGAGAGAGAGAGAGACAGAGTGAGAGAGAGAGAGAGAGAACAACAAAAAAGAGAGCACACGTACATGACAGCACGCGTGCGCACACCCACGCACTCAAAAACACACACTTTTGAAGTCAGCGGCGCAGAGGGTCCTCAAGCGCGAGCAGCAGATGGGAGTGCGAATTGCGATCGAGCGTCGTCGAACGCGCAACGTACACAGAGAGAGAGAGAGAGCGAGGCATATTGTGATCGAACGTCGTCGAAAGCACAACGTACAACGATATAATCAACTATACATACATATAATCATACATATATGTATGGAGAGAGAGAAACTGCGCGCACCCGCACCCGCGAGCGAAGAACAGTGTCGCTGGCCCGAAATGCCCCCAGTAAGGCGAAGCCAGGACGAGGATGAAAATCGGGCGAGGACAAATCGAAAATCTTTGAAATTTGGCGGCGTTTGAGAATATCTCGGGCGCCGCGGCCTTCTCAGAGCGAGAAGTCGGGTGAGGAAAAATCTAGTATCTTTCAAATTTTGGGGTTTCGGACAATGTCTCGGGCGTCGCTGCCTTCTCGGAACGTGCCGAAACGCTCCGAGTGCGTTCCAGAAGACTGTGGAACTGATTTTTCTCCCCGCCCTGGCTCAAGGCTTCGAAGCTTCGACAGCATACTCGACTACTGTGCCCGCCTGTCTCTTCTCCTTATTTCTCTTACGATTGCGTGCAAATGTCGACAATTGACCTTGAGAGTGGGCTTGCCAAGCTGCTCCCTGATTCGGTTTTGCTGGAAGGGCCTGAGATGCGGAAAAGGAGCACGAAGGTTCCCGGGGCGCCGCTTTGAGGCGAGAGGGGCTCCAGTAGCTCAGCAGAAGTCCGCCCCATTTCAACGCCAGTCGTCCTCGCTCCTCGCTCCTCCCTCCCCCCTCCGCCCTCCTCCTCCTCCTCCTCCTCCTCCTCCTCTCTCCTCCTCCACCTCCCTCCTCCCTCCTCCTCTCCTCCTCCTCCTCCTCCCTCCTCCGCCGTCCTCCGCCGTCCTCCGCCGTCCTCCGCCCTCCTCCTCCCACCTTCCCCTCCTCCTCCTCCGCCCTCCTCCGCCCTCCTCCCCGCTCCCGCGCTCCCTCCTCCTCCTCCTCCTCCTCCTCCTCCTCCCTCCTCCTCCTCCTCCTCCTCCCCCTCCTCCTCCTCCCCCTCCTCCTCCTCCCCCGACGTGGCCCCCCCAGGGGCAGGTGCCGCCCCCCAGGGGCGGGGAAGCGCCCGCGGCCCGCGCCGCCCGCGCCGCCGGCGGCCGCATGGGCGGCCCCCCCCCCCGCGGGCCCGGACGGGCCTCGGGAGGCGGACGGGCCTCGGGGGCGGGCCTCGGGCCTGGGCGGCCGGCGGCGGCAAGCCTCCCCGGAAGGAGGAGCCGGGAGCGAGGAGGAGAAGGAGGAGCGAGGAGCGAGGAGGAGGAGGAGCGAGGAGCGAGGAGGAGGAGCGAGGAGGGGAGGAGGAGGAGGAGGAGGAGGAGGAGGAGGAGGAGGAGGAGGAGCGAGGAGAGGAGGAGGAGGAGGAGGAGGAGGAGGAGAAGGAGGAGGAGGAGGAAGAGGAGGAGCGAGGATCGAGGAGGAGGAGGAGGAGGAGGAGGAGGAGGAGGAGGAGCGAGGAGGAGGAGGAGGAGGAGGAGGAGGAGGAGGAGGAACGTGGGGAGCGCGGACACGGCGCAATCCACAAGGGAGAGCGGCCCTGGGAGCGAGGACGCAGCGTAGTTTACAAAGGATCGTCGCCCTGGGAGCGCGGACGCAGCGTGATTTAGAAGGAATCCTGGCTCTGGGAGCTCGGAGGCAGCGTAATTTACGATGGATCGTGGCCCTGGGAGCGCGGACGCAATGAAATTTACGAAGGATCCTGGCCTTGGGTCAGGGGCGCGCCGTGTCACGTTCCCTGACCCGCTCCCTGGTACGTTCCCTGGGCGCGTCGCCTGGCGCGTTCCCTGGCACGTTCCGTGGCGCGTCCCGTGGCGCATCCCCCTGGCACGTGCGGCACGTCCCCTGGCACGTCCTGTGGCACGTCCACTGGCACGTTCCGTAGTGCGTCCCCTTGGCACGACCCGCGGTGCGTTCTCATGGCACGTCCCCTGGCCCTGGCGCGTCCCTGGGGACGTTCCGCGGATCGCCCTGGCGTGTCCCCCCTGGCATCGCACAGCTGCATGTGCAATTAAGGTCCTCAGAAACGGTTCCACTCCTCGCAGTTCTCACTCCTCCTCCTCCTCCGCCTCCTCCCTCGTCCTTCGCTCCTCCTTTTCCTCCTCCCTTTTTCCTCCTCCCCCTTTTCCTCCCCCTCCTCCTCCTCCTCCTCCTCCAACTCCTCCTCCTCCTGCTCCTCCTTCTCCTCCCCCTCCTCATCCTCCCCCTACTTCTCCTCCCCCGGCTCCCTTCAGAGGAAGCCTTCCTCGACCCTCCGCCGCGCGGCCCAAGGCGATCTCTCTCGCCTCCCGACGCCCTGCAGCGTCTCTGCGCGCTCGCAAGGGGCGCCCGGATCGCCCCGAGCGGCCACCAGAAGCCAGTTGCACCGGGGCCCCGACCACAAAACCTTCCATCAGAAACCCAACCCTGAGGCCCCAGGGCGCTCATCGAATTCTTGCGTGGAATCGTTACGCCTCGCACGACAAAACCATCGAAACCCAAGAAACCCAGGGCACCCTGGAGGCAAGCAGGGTGTTCTTGGCATGGGCCTCCACTGGAACTGGCCCGAAAACCTTTCGGAGGAGGAAGAAGAGTGGGAGGAGGAGAAAGGGGGAGGAGGAAGGAGTGATCAGGACAACTCGCAGGACAGCTGAGCAGCTGCGCAAATCCTTCGCAAGAGATCCCGATACACTCCCCAGAAGGGGGATTCACGTCCACGACACAAGCACGGTGGTTGGGCCCAGAGAAGGCGGCTGCATCTGATATGCTCCCAACACATCCCGTGGATTGAAAGGTACCTCAACGCCGCCACAAGCACTTCAATATGAAAGGTTCGCGCTCGCGCGGATCCAATACCAAAGCCGAAGTTCGTCCGGGTCCATGGCAATTATGTGTTGAGCTCGACTGCGTTTATTAACAATCGTATACCCTGAAGTGTACGGTCTTCATCTCGGAGAAAGCGCGTTTCACGAGCGCTTGCCTTGGGAATATTCGGCGGTGCGTTTCAAACCGTGGGGCGCCTTCCCCCCAACACTCGGCGCCGTCGATCAGAACCAGGGGGACTCCCCTCCCCCCTAACCCCCCCCTCCCGAGCCCCCCCCTCCCGAAGGGGAGGGGTCCAAAACCCCCCGCCGGCGCCGGCGCCGGCGCTGGCGGCCGCCAGCAGCGCCGACGGTGGGGACGGAGCGACGATGACCAGAGGCAGCCCTAGGAGGGGGGGGGTCCAAACCCCCTCTGCCCCCCCCCGTGCCGGCGCCGGCGCCGGCGCCGGGCGGCGGCCAGCAGCGCCGACGATTACCAAAGAGGGCCCAGAGGCCGCAGAGGGAACACACACAACCGCCATATCGACACCCGCACCAACCACCACCCCACCACCACCCACACCACCCACCACACCCTGCCACCACCACCCCCACCACCACTCCACCCAAACCAAAACACCACCACCACCAGCCACCCACACCACCACCACCACAATCACCACCACCACACCACCAAACCCAACACCACCACCACGACAACCACCACCACCACAACCACCACCCAACCCACCCACACCACAAACCACTACCAACCCACCACCACGCCACAACTACCATCACACCACCACAAACCACCGCACAACCCACCGCCACCACCACCACCACCACCACAACTACCACCACACCCACCACACCACAACCACCACCGCCACCACCACCAACCACCACAACCACCACCACCACCGCCACCACCACCACCACCACCGCCACAACCACCACCACCACCACAGCCCACCACCACCACCACCACCTCGGAGAGGCCCCAAGAGACGCCGAAGAGGCGCCCAGGAGGCTTCACAAATGCCCTTCAGAGGCCCCCGAGCCCTCTGACGAGACCCCAAGAGGCATCCATGAGGACTCTGACCCAAAACCAAGGCACTGTGGCGGAGCGTCGTCGTCGTCGTCGTCGTCATCGTCATCACCGTCGTCGACGCTAGCCGCCGCCGCCGCCGCCCGCCGCCGCAGGCGCCGGCGCCGGCCCAGAAAAGGAAGTCGTCGCCCCCGCCGCCGCCGCCAGCGGCCGCCGACGCAGGCACCGGCCCGAGGAAAGGGAGAGAGGAAAAGTAGGGAAGGGGGGGGTAGGTTGAACACCCCCCCTGCGTCACGGGAAAAGGAGGGGAACCCGTCCCCCCCCCTCCATCCACGGGGGGGGTCCGGTTCCACCCCCCCACCCTCCAAGCCACCACAGAACGCGCCGCTCATCTCAAAAACATGCAGCGTCGTGCAATATGTGTGTGGTGCGATGTTAGCAGTGCAGCCTATGCGATGCAACAGAATGCTGTGCAGGACATGTGGGGCAATATATTTGGTGCCCTCTGCGTAATGACATGTCTGTGATTACACTTACGCGGTGGAGGCAATGAGACGTATCATCAATATCCTCTAACTCCTCCACCTCCTCCTTCCTTTCGCATCGTCCTCCTCCTCCTCCTCCTCCTCATCATCAACATTCCCTTTGATGATCAACTTGTTTTTGCCGCAACGTCCACCAACAAGGTGGCGGACATCCGCCGCGGCGTCACCACACAAGACAGGATAGGAGACTGCCGGGATGTGCATGGGAACGTTTGTAATCTAAGCCCAGCGGTCGAAATACCCAAGGACTCTATCGGACCCCCAACTACAGTAGGGGCTCGACCACAAGAAACCTTCCACAAGAAATCCAACCCTGCGACCCCAGGACGTCCATCGATTTTTGTTGGGGGGGGGCGTCATGCCTTCCACAGGAAAGCCATCGAAACCCAACAAACCCAGGGCACCCTGGAGGTAAGCAGAGTGTTTCTTGGCATGTGCCCCCAATGCAACACACAAAAAATTTGACAGCGGTGGCATCGAGTCGCCATCCTGGACAGCCCCAAGGCGGAGCCCCGCGAGCCTACCCGAGCGGCTCGTGGGAGCCCCGACCGTGCCTGCTCCTGACCATGTCCACCACTCGCTCCTCCTTCTCCTCCTCCTCCCCCTCCTCCTCCTCCCCCTCGTCCCCCTGCCCCTCCTCCTCCTCCTCCTCCTCCCCCCCCTCCTCCTCCTCCTCCTCCTCCGCCTCCTCCTCCTTCTCCCAGAGCGCCCACAGCCGGAGGCACGGGGATATGTGACCGTGCAACCTTCCCAACAGATCAGATGGTCACGAGGACTCTGCGTCACACACATGCATCCAAGAAGCATCTGCCCCACCAGAGCGCTTCCAAGATCGTCGCAAGCACTCGCTCCTTCTGGGGCTCAGCGGAATGGCGTAAACCATTTGAACAAAGAGGGTTCCGCGATACACATGCGCAATCATTTCCGCGGGCTCGACACAGGTGGGCTGGATCCCAGAACTGGAGCACCCCCGCAGCCGCGCCAGCATCGCCTCGGCCAAGGCATGTTCAATGACGGAGAGGGATGGCGAGAAGCGCGGATTCGCAACTGATGGGAAAGGGATCCGACAATACGCCTGCTTCGGCCAACGTCGCAGACTAGAGGCAAGACATGGGGAAGAGAGAAAGGCCCCTGAACATGCTGACGGTAAGAACGGGGGTCCGTGGAAGATGCGGGGGGAAGAGAATGCTGAAGGAAGGGTTCATAACGGGGCTGGAGGGGGAGGGAGAGGGGGAATGCTGAGGCGACCCAGGGCTGGGCAATCCGAACGAACCATCCACGCGGAAGCTCCTCACCATCGGGCAACCTATCAAGCTCCTGAGGTCACCAGAACAGACTTCGGTCCAAGGATGCTCGGGAACGCGGCACTCGCTGGGAGCTTGGGAACGAGTACCAACACTAACACACGGAATTACCTGCACAAGGGGAAGACGATTCTAAATTTTGGTGATGGTGGTGCTCTCTGGACCACTTCACAAACCCGAACCCTACTATCATCGCGATCCGGATCACCCTCCGTAGAGAACCATCAAACTGCATACAGATATACTTTCGGAGGTCCGTGCGAATTTCTTAGATTGTCGACGGAGGCGCCACAAGGGACCCGGGGCCCCAGCGCAGATCCAAGAAATCCGCGCGGAGCTCCGAAGATTTATGTTTATGCAATTGTTTCTGGATCGCCTCGGTCAAGGCAGCCGACGATACTGGTGCTGGTGCCAACCTCCAGACCTCTGGAATCGGGGCTTCATCAGGCATGCAGGATCGGTCAACGTCGACTCGGGCTGCATCGGCAACAAGTTAATAAGCAGTGAAAAGCGCCCCCAATCCTTTAGGAGGGGACCTCAGTCAGGAAGGCCAGAACATTCAGGACATGGGGCTCTTTTTGGCAGAGGTGTCACGGTATCGGAAGAAACCACCCATATGAATAAGGATATCCCTAAAACAGTGGACCCAAATTAGGCCACGAATTCATCGTGCTATTAACTAGGGTTAGGGGTGTCTTATGCTTAATGAGACGAATTCGTATCGGATCGGCTGCGGCTGCGATGCACAATGCCATGCCATCCGAACACAGATCCGCCTCGAAGGGTCAACCCAGCCTAAATCGATGTCCGATCGAATCGATCGGATCGAGACTGGCCCTGGGCATACAGGCGAGGCTGAGGCCGGCTCCTCGACACGGCGGCGTAATGCCGTTGACCTCCACGATGCCGTCGCCAAGGGCCACGGGCGTTGCAGGACTGTGCTCGTTCCACCTGTTCAGTATGCCTCCACCAAGGATGAGGATCATCATCAGACCAACGTCCTCGGTGGGGTTCGGTGGCAACTTCTGAGAGGTCTTCGAAAGAAAGGCTCAGGGCCAATAAGCCCGATCATGGCGCCATTTAGCCGAAGTCGCCTGGGTCAGGCCTACGATAAAGCGGGAACAAACCAGATTTAGCGGGATCGAAACCCGGTTTAGTTGGGTCATTCTGAATCAGCCGACCTGCAAACCAGCGCGGATGCCGAGTTTACCATCCCAGGAGTTGCATCCCAAGGTGGCGGGAGCGCTGCACAACGCTGGAGCAAGAGACGCCTGCTGCACGCGGGCCGTTGCGCGCACATGTTCGGATTTACGCGCTTCGCGCCCGTTGGGTTGCGCTGAGCTAGGTGATCTTGGCAGCGACGAAATGTTCATGTGATATGCAAAGCTTCGCCAGGTCAGACTGGTGCAGTAGTACAAGTCCGGCCTCCAGCAGGAGGGACGAGAGGGACGGGAGGTCGTGGAGGCATGTCAGAAGGAAGAGAAGGAGGAAGGGATTGAAAGGGCACCGTTGGCTGTCCTCCTGAATATCGTGCTGTCACTGCTCGGTCCACACAGGAGCCAGGCGTTGGTAGGACGGCCTTCCCTCATCAATACTCCTGGGTCGCTGATGGGACAGACCTGCCTTGTCGGTGAAGCGTGCTGTTACGTTTACACTGTGGAGCTGGCCTGTCTGAATTACTGCGTGAGAGGTGTCGCCGAACGGCACATGAAGTCCCATCTCATCCATATGGGGGCTTGTGGGCAGATGCGTATCGTCCTAGCGGAGACGAGAAGAGGCGAACATACAGAGGCGTTGAAAGGTTCATTTGTTGAAAACAATAAAAAAATATGAGAGCCTTTGGATGGGTTATATGAAAATATGATGTTTAACCCGTTAGAAATGAGAATGCATGAAACGAATGCGATGATCAGGGGATTGGGGTCAGGCGTGCACGAGTAGGACTCTCAACGTGTACCCCCGCAGCTTCCCCTCTATTGCAGCACCCTCTAAAATGAAACCCCTATCTCATGCGCCGCTGCACTGTGTGATCTCGGTCCGCGTTCCCCCGCCGCCGCTCATGCGTGCAGGCGCCTCCCGCACAATGAGAAGGGATTGCCACTGATGCGTGATGATGGGGAAGGGTGGTGGTAAGTGTGATGATGGTGAAGGTGATGATGTTCTCACTCACGCGCAGGCCAGCGTCCCAAAAAAGACTGAAACCTGAGCTGGCTTCGTGGCAATGCGAGGGAATCCTTTCATAAGGTGTGAATGTTCTTGCTGTTGCTCCCCCTCAATCCGTCGACCCCCAAGATCGGACCCCTCATTTCGCCACCCGTGCCAGAGAGACGAACAGCTTCGCATGTACTTGCCTACGCAGCCCGCCCCAAACGCTCGCCCATTCGCTGAGAATGGTCGACAGCCGAACGAGGCCACTAAAAGAGCACCCCTGAGCCCACAAGAGGCCCGCTCGACACCACGGACTGCGGAGGCTAGTATTAGCAAAGCGTCCACTCAAGGCCCCAGCGGCGACAAGCTGTGGCCACGCGTGTCGGCGGAGGGCCTAGACATACGAACTAACTGCGGTGGAAAACTACCTCGCGCTGACTGGCGCAATCTTGAGCTTCAAAAGTGGCTTCGACGGTTTCGAGCTCTTGTCTGCTGATGCCACCTCGGTCGACTTGGATTCGGCCGTTGGCGAGCCCGTGGTACTGTCTGGGCCCGCGTGAGGGCCACCGTTCCCCTCCTCGAGGCCAGCTTCGAAGTCGTTGAGCTTCACTTGCAACGAGTTCGGCAAGTCGGCAACGCTGACCGATAGCTTGTCGGCGGCGTACTTATTTGTAGTGGGCACGGCTTTTTTGGTCAGCAAGCTGTTCGCCAACATCATCGTTGCCATCAGCACTGCTGCTTCGCGAATCAAGATCTTGATCTCAGGAAGCTTCTCGATCAGGGCGCGAAGCAACGCGCTCTCCACGGCCGAGAGCCACTGCAGGGACCCCACCACCTTCGACAGCTCCTCGATAACGCGAGCTGCTGGGGGGAGGCCGATGGTGTAGGACTCGGTCAGCTTGAACTCTGCAGTGCGCTTGTCGTCTCTGGTGCTGGATGCCAGCCACATGTTTGCATCGAAGCTCCACGCGTCGACGAGGCCAATCACCTTCTCCTCGTCCCTGTACTTCTTGCTGAAGCCCTCTACCTGGATGATATCGAGCTGCCCCGCGACGCCCTGGAACGCGGTGGCCCACTCCTCCTTCAACGCCCTCTTCCAGCCAGGGATCTCGGCCATGGCAGAAACTGGCTCGACCAACGATTGGATGAGGGTCAATGCCGCGGTGCTCTGCATGCAACCGATGCTCTTTCCCGCAATCAGCTGTTCTGCACCCTGCCTGATGGTTTTGAATGCCTTAGCCGAGTCGACCAGCACCTTCACTTGAGCAGGTAAAGAACCGACGAGCTCGCTGACTACTGCAATGAAGTTCTGGGTGACAAGCTGGCACCCAGGTGAGCCAACAATCGCCTTCACAACTGAAATGATCAAGTTCTCCGCCGAGAGAGCTGAAAGAACATCGCATATCAACTGGAAAGAAGATATCTGTTTGTCGTCGGTCACCCTCGCCGCGCTCTTGATGGACGCCTCTGCCTCCCAGATCTCCGACCAGTGGGTCAGAATCGACTCGTCACACTTCTTCGCAGACATCACCATGGTCTCGTTCACCTTCACGGCGAGGAGGCGTCGATCATTGGTTTCTTTCACAATGGCCCTGTAGACAGAAGAGAGCTCGAACATCATCAAAGTAGACGCCACAGATGCAAGTACACGGAAGATATCGGCATCAGAGTCCATTTGCTCTAACGCCTCCTTGATTGCGCCTCCATTGCCAATGCCATCGCAGTAGATAGTGCTCGCCAGTTGCTGGAGTCCGCCAGAGTACAACGTGATCAAAGTTTGGCCACTGAAGAGGTTCTTCACCAAGTCGTCCCTCAAATTGATCAGCTGCTCGATCTCGCTATCGTTCTCGTCGCCGATGCCGTCGAGGAAATTGGCGAACGTCTTCACCGATTCTGACCCCGCGATCTCCTGGAGCAGGCCGAAGGTGCACTCAACAGCTTGCTGGCTGTCTGTATCCTTGAAGGGGCCAATCGCGCCCCTGCCCAAGCTGATGAGATCAGCGACCCGAGGGCCCTCGGGCATCCCAGAAAGCCCAGGTCCCCAGGGGACTCTTTTGGACCAAGGACCCCCCCCCCAGCTTGAGCATAGGTGTCGATTTGCCCCCAATACCGCAGCATACATGCGAAGAGAATGCGTCAGCTTCATCACCTCGTCGACGACCTCAGTATCAAGACGCCTGCAGGAGTCCCCCGTCCCGATGTCAGGAATCATCTCCCAGGCGATCTTAGCCATGCTGGACGATCCACCCGACACGCGAGTGAGGCAACGGAGGCGAGCGCTCAACTTCGACACACGGGATCGGAGTGCAACGCCCTCGATGCGAAGGTCTCTGGGCAGTCTATCGTCGGCGTCTTGCGCCAAGACCCTCCCGAAGTACTCCAGCGCGTACAAGTCCGCAGTGCACTGAGAATTCCACCCAGCGGTCTCGTCGATCATGGTGTTGTCCAGGTCGAGCTCCGCCAAGTTGACCTGGGGAAACTTCCATTGGGCCTGAAACCGATCCCTCCTCACCGAATCTCTCCGGTTGACATTATCGTTCCGGGCTGGGAACGATCGAGGTCAACCAAAGCTCACGGTGAGAAGGGCGCAGTTTAGCAGGCCCATTGGAAGCCGTTTGACCTTGCCAATCACAGCAGAGCAGCACGACATGATCTTGACGAAGTCCTCGCGCCTCTTCTTGACCACCTTATCGATGAAGCCCTGAACGAGATTCTGTTGGCAGCTCGACACAAAGCGATCGTCGCAGCCGCTGGCCTTCAGGGCACCCGCGGAGAACATGCCCTTGACCTCCATGAGCTTCGCCACCTTCAAGGCCATCACCTCGCAACCATCACCACCAAGACCCAAAAGAGTAAACGAAGTCGCCGATAGCATGTTGACCCGAACGGTCTCAGAACACTTGCCGAAGATGTCGATGAAGTCGCATGGTAATGAGTCCAGTTTCTCCACGTAGTCTTGCGGATTCTGCCTGGAAGCTTCGATTGCTTTCTTCTGGGTAGTAAGGCCCACACTCAACTTGAATAGCTTCTCTGCTGTCTCCGCCGCCTCAGCATCGTCAGCGATCGCTGCCACCTTTGTCGCCCTGGCCGCCAGCTTCGTGGGCGCGTTCTCGTAATCTCTGGACTTGAACTTCCTGTTCCACAAGACCTCTGGTGAGAAAGCAACCAATGCATCATGCAAAACAGCTTTACCTCCTTCGGCGCCTGAGGAATGAGCGTCAGAGCCAACGCGCCTCTTCTTGGTGGTCCGTACTTCTATTGGTACCTCCGACGTCGCTCTCCTCGGAATCGGCGTGGCACAAGCAGACGAAGCACCACCAATGCTGCAGGAGTCCACGTCGCTGAGGTTACCGATGTCGTCGCTCGCCGTAATCAATGATGCTGCTAGTGGCGATGCCCTCACGTCCACGATGTCGGAAGACGTCTCACGCCCACTTGACGGGGCGCCATCAGCAGCAAACGACGCCTTGCTAGCGAGACGAACACGCGGCTTGGCAGCAGCACCAAAGCCCAGAGGCTGACCTTCACGCTCACGACTACGCAGATCCTCTTGATGCCGAACCTGTGCCGACTCCGTGCTTCTCCTCCACGATCTTCTTCGCCGAGTCCTTGACGCCCTTCCTGTACTTGTACTGGGCCCCATGCGGCATGTCGGGGACGTTGACAACAAGCACGCCCTTCTTGCCCATCTCTACCTCCATCCCCAAGGAACCCGTGATGTAATCGACCAGCATCTGCTCAGTAGGAAAGGAGAGGTTTCGTTCTCTCGCAAAGGATTTGAGCTCGATGGCGTGGCCCTCCTCGAACCCCTCGCTGAACTGCTCACTCTGGATAACGGACTTCACTTTGGTGT